TTGGTTGTGGGGCTTGAACTCTGGGCCTGGGTGCTGTCCCTCAAGGCTAGCACTCTACCACTTGAGCCACAGCGCCACTTCCGGTTTTCTTGTGGTTAATTGGAGATAAGAGGCTCACAGACTTTCCTGCTCAGGCTGGCTTTGAACAGTGATCCTTAGATCTCAGCCTCCCAAGTAGCTAGGATTACAGGTGGGAACCACCAGCGCCCAGCTATGTTGTTACCTCTTTATAGTGTTATTCAAATCCGTCCCAATTTGCTCTTTTTAGGTATTATAATAAGTTATATCCTAAATATTTTATCAATTTTTTATTTATCTTGTGTGTGTGTGTGTGTGTGTGTATGTGTGTATATGAGTGTGTGTATGAGAGAGTGTGTGTGTATTGGTGCTGGAACTTGAACTTTAGGCATTGTGCTCAGCTGTTTTCAATCATGGTTGTCACTCTACCACTTGCTGTGCTTCCAACCCAGCCTTTTTGCTGATTAATTGGAGATAGAGTCTCTCTGACTTTTCTGCTGAAATTGGCTTCAAACTTAATTCCTTGTCTGACTCTGAGGAATGTCTGAGTTGTTAGGATTACAGGGATGACCTTTACATTTTAATTTGATATAATATATGCACCATAAAATTTAACTTTTTTTTAGTCTGTCACGGAGCTTTAACTCAAATTCTGGGTGCTATCCCTAAGCTCTTTAACTCAAGGCTAGTGTTCTACCACTTTGAGCCACAGCTCCATTTCCAGTTTTCTGGTGGTTAATTGGAGATAAGAGTCTCATGGCAACTTTTCTGCCCTGGCTGGCTTTGCACCTGATCCTTAGATCTCAGCCTCCTGAGTAGCAAGGATTACAGAAGTAAGCCACCAGTGCCCAGCAAATTTAATTTAATTTTTTTTAATTTTAATTTTTTTTACAGTCCTGGGGCTTGAACTTAGGGCCAGCCAGGGCACTGTCCCTGAGCTTCTTTTGCTCAAGGCTAGCACTCTACTACTTGAGCCACAGCACCACTTTTGGCTTTTTCTATGTATAAGTTACTGAGGAATGGAACCCAGGGCTTCATGCATGCTATGCAAGCACTCTACCACTAAGTCACATTCCCAGCCCAAATTTAACATCCTTGAAGTTACATTTTAGCAGTTTTTATACTAGGTTATAGAGATGTATTAAATTCCAGAACATTTTCATCATTCCAAAAAGACTCATTAAAAGCATTCCCTTTTTCTCTTTCCCTACTCCCTGTCTATGGATTTGCCATGCTCCACATTTCATGTGATCTTTTAGTGTCAGGATCTTCCACCAAACATAAAATTTTCAGGATTCATCCATGCTACAGTGTACATCAGCACTTAACTTATGGCAATAATATTACACTGTATGGATATTCTGTATTTTATCCATTTATCTGCTGACAGATATTTGAGTTTCCACTTTGGGACATTGTGAATAATGCATGTATAATTTTTTTTGGGGGGGTCCGGTCATGGGGCCTGAACTCTGGGCCTGGGTGCTGTCTCTCAGCTCTTCAGCTCAAGGCTAGTGCTCTACTACTTGAGCCACAGCGCCACTTCCGGCTTTTTTCTTTTTGCTTATGTGGTGCTGAGGAATCGAACCCAGGGCCTTGAGCATGCAAGGCAAGCTGTCTACCACTGAGCCACCTTCCCAGCCCCATGTATAAATATTTATGTCTAAGTTTTTATATGGATTTATGTTTTCTGCTCTTTTTTTTTTAATTGGTTGTGGGGCTTGAACTCTGGTCCTGGGCACTCTCCCTCAGCTCTTCAGCTCAAGGCTAGCACTCTACCACTTGAGCCACAGCGCCACTTCTGGTTTTCTGGTGGTCTATTGGAGATAAGAGTCTCATAGACTTCCCTGCATGGGCTGGCTTTGGATCCCGATCCTCAGATCTCAGGCTCCTGAGTAGCTATGATTACAGGCGTGAGCCACTGGTGCCCGGCTGTTTTCTGCTCTTTTATGTATATATCTAAAAGCAGAATTACTTAGTCATATGAGAATTCTACGTTTAACATTTGAATTGCCTAACTTTTCCGTGGTGACTAAATTACATACATACATACATACATAGATTACTTATTTATTTATGTACTTACTTGTCGGTCGTGGGGTTTGAACTCAGGGCCTGGGTGATGTCCCTGAGCCTCTCTGTGCTCAAGCATAGTACTCTATCACTTGAGCCACAGAGCCACTTCTGGTATTCTGTAGGTTTATTGTAGATAAGAGTTTGGCTAGGGCTGGGAAGGTGGCTCAGTGGTAGATCGCTTGCCTTGCATGCATGAGGCTCTGGGTTCGATTCTTCAGCACCACATAAGCAAAAAGAAAAAAAGCTGGAAGTGGCGCTGTGGCTTAAGTGGTAGAGCGCTAGCCTTGAGCTTAAGAGCTGAGGGACAGCACTCAGGCCCAGAGTTCAGGCCCCACAACCGGACCCCTCCTCCCCAAAAAAGAGTTTGGCTGGCTTTGAACCATGATCCTCAGATCTCAGCTTCCTGAGTAGCTAGAATTAAAAGATTGAGCCACTGGCACCTGCTTTCGCTTCCAGGTTTTGAGTGGTTAATTGGAGATAAGAGTCTCTCTGGGACTTTTCTGCCCAGGCTGGATTCAAATCATGATCCTTAGCTCTCAGTCTCCTGAATAGCTTTTAGGATTACAGATGTGAGGCATGGGTGCCTGGTTTAAATTATATTATTTGAGAGACCATTTGTCATTCATTTCTCAAATGCACCTCTAAGCCTTTTGTTGTTGTTGTTGGTAGTAGGGCTTGAACTCAGGGCCTAGGCACTGCCCTTGAGCTTTTTCCCTCAAAGCTAGTGCCACAGTGGAGCCACAGCTCCACTTAAGTTTTCTGGTGCTTAATAGGAGATAAGAGTCTCATTGCCTTCCCTGCCTGGGCTGGCTTCAAAGCATGATCCTTAGATCTCAGCTTCCTCAGTAGCTACAATTACAGGCATGAACCACTAGTGCCTGGCTTCTAAGCTATTTTTTATGTAATTCCCTTCTACTGGAAGTACTTTTACTGTCTTGTTTCTGTACATCCTTCAAACCCTAATTCACACACTACTTTTCTTCTTAAAACAGTTCCTGCTACTATGAGCTCACAATCTTCCTGCTTTAGCCTCCTGAGTGCTTGGATTGCACTACCACACTTGTTTTCATGATGCTTTCTAAATGGTAGACTTTAGTAAATACTGGAGAAATGAATGGGAGAGAACTGAAAATCACTTGAATTTTAAAGTTTTTACCTAGATATATAATTTTTAGAAAATACATCTAAATATGTTTAATAAATACAGAATTTTTCCACTTGAATGATGGTTTTATCTATCCTAACTGGCAAGCAAGTAGTTAAACTTTGTGGTATTAAAAAAATTTGTCTTCAGAAATATTAATTTTTGCTGGGCACATGGGAAAGTCCATGAGACTTTATTATTACTTTTTTTTGCCAGTCTTGGGGCTTGAACTCTGGGCCTGGGCCCTGTCCCTGGACTCCTTTTTGCTCAGTGCTACCACTCTACCACTTGTGCCATTTCCAGCTTTTTTTTTTTTCTTCTGTGATTAATTGGAGAGAAGTCTCCTTTCTCTCTTTCTTCTCTCTTCTACTCTTCTCTCTCCTTTTTCCCTTCCATGCCAGTATTTGAACTCAGGAACTTGGGACTTGAGCTTCTAAGCTTGCTCTCTTGGCTAATGTTTTACCACTTGAGCCACACTTCCAGCCCTGGTTAATTTTTGTTTGTTTCCATTTCTTGGAATTTATTTCAATAAGTATGTCAGAAGTATGTAGGTATTATGCCTTTGTGTTCCTCCCCTGAGAGTATCCTGTTTTGGTTTCATTATGTATGAATGCCTAGAGGCCTATATAATTTATCGTGTACTGGTGTTTTGCTGGTTATTTTGGAAATGGATATTTTTGGAAAATGATTTTCTATGTAGGCTGCCTTTGAGCTGAGATCCTCTAGATCTCAGCCTCATGAATCCTCTAGGATTACAAGTATGTGCCACAAGGCCCTGAGTTCAAACTCTTAACACCACCAAAGGAAAAAAAAAACCCACCAAAATCCTATAACAAAGCCCTTTCCTGTAACTCTTTGTTTCTCTAATAATTTATCTGTTTTTTAAAGTTTCCAATTAAAAGTAATATCTTAAATTATAGGTTTAGTACTCATATTGTTGTCCTGTTTATGGATATTTCATCTTTAATTCATAAATAGGTTGAATCATTTATTTTGGACCAAGAAGACTTGGATAACCCAGTGCTTAAAACAACATCAGAGATATTCTTATCAAGTACTGCAGAAGGAGCAGACTTACGTACTGTGGATCCAGAGACACAGGCACGACTAGAAGCATTGCTAGAAGCTGCAGGTACTCTATATTATTTGTCTATCTGTCTATCCATCCACCAATCGATCTATCTTATCTGTTTGAAGTCTAAATCACTTCATAGAATTATATAAGATTATCACAAAATTATACAATATTGTATAAAGCTTGCTATCTCTATAAAATTTACTTTTTGTTTCCTAAATAAAATGGTTGTATGTGTGTGTGTGTGTGTGTGTGTGTGTGTGTGTGTGTGCACGTGCGCGTGCCCGCTGATACTGGGGCTTGAACTCAGGATCTGTGCACTGTCCCTTAGTTTTTTTGCTCACGTCTAGTGCATTAACATTTGAGCCATAACTCCATTTCCAGCTTTTTGGTGGTTAATTGGAGATAAGAGTCTCATAGAATGGCTGGGAAGATGGCTCAGTGGTAGAGCGCTTGCCTTGCATGCCTGAGACCCTGGGTTCGATTCCTCAGCACCACATAAGCAAAATGAAAAAAGCCGGAAGTGGCGCTGTGGCTCAAGTAGTAGAGTGCTAGACTTGAGCTGAAGAGCTGAAGGACAGCGCCCAGGCCCAGAGTTCAGGCCCCACGACTGGACCCAAAAACAAAAAAAAGAGTCTCATAGACTTTCCTGACTGGGTATACTTTGAAACATGATCCTTAGATCCCATCCTACTGAATAGCTAGGATTATAGGTGTGAGCCACCTGTACGTGGCTTGTATTGACTAGTTTTGAAATAGGATCTTTCTTCTTTCATTGTTGTGATTGGGGGTGTAATTTTCTTATTTTAGGCTTCCTGTGGGAGCTAAAATAATACATGTCCACCATTAAGCCCAGCTCTCAGTTGAGAATGGGGTTCCACCAACTTTTCTGTCTTGGCTGGCCTTGAACCATGATCCTCCCAATCTCAGCCTGCCAAGAAGCTAGGATTCTAGGTGTGAGCCCCTGATGCCCAACTAATGTTTGCATTTTATATTTTAAAAGCTCTTGGTTAAAAGTAATGAATAATTTCTGACCTCAACTCTAGAATTTTTATGATAGCAAAGATAACCAGTTGATAGTCAATTAGTTATTAAGGAAAACTTAAAATTACATCTATAATGAAATTGATTAAAATGTAATAGATAGGTCCAAGTGTGGTAGTATATAAAAATGTAAGAGATAGGGCCAGGTATAGTAACTTACGCCTATAATCAATTGTAGTTACTCAAAAGGCTGAGATTGGGAAGATTGTGATTTGAAGACAGCCTAGGCAAAAAGAAACCCCCCCCTTTTTTTGTTGGTCGTGGGGCCTGAACTCTGGGCCTGGGCACTGTCCCTCAGCTTTTCAGCTCAAGACTAGCACTCTACCGCTTGAACCACAGCACCACTTCCGGCTTTTTTTTCTGCTTACGTGGTGCTGAGGAATCGAACCCAGGGCCTCATGCATGCAAGGCTCTACCACTGAGCCACCTTCTCAGCCCTTCTTCATGTGTTTTTATACATATATTGTTAGAGAAAAATAATAAAACTTAAGTAATGACTCTTCTGGGAAGTATTCAGACAATTGAATTTTAAGTTTTTGTATATTTTTATAGGTTAAACATTGTTATAATATTGTATCCAAAGAAATGATCAGATGATATACTTTAAAGTAATATGTCCTGCCTGAGGTGTAGCTCAGGTAGTAAGGTGCCTGCTTAGCAAGCATGAGATTCTGAGTTCAAATCTTGGTGCTGTGAAAAAGCAATAAAGATAAAATAATATGTCCTTTCCAAAGACCCATGCAAGATAGTTACTGGATACTTTTTTTCTGTGCTTCGATATTTTAGTTTGCCTTTTTTTTTTTGACATTGCATTGAGCCTATAACATTTTGGAAGAATTTTTAGATTGATGTTTGTGTTCAGTAGTAAACCTATAATTTAATTAACTCCTTCTAAAGGAATCTAGAATTTTTTTTGGGGGGGTCCGGTTGTGGGGCCTGAACTCTGGGCCTGGGCGCTACCCTCAGCTCTTCAACTCAAGGCTAGTGCTGTACCACTTGAGCCACAGTGCCACTTCTGGCTTTTTTCTTTTTGCTTATGTGGTGCTAAGGAATCAAATCCAGGGCCTCAGGCATGCAAGGCAAGCGCTCTACCACTGAGCCACCTTCCCAGCCCCGAATTTAGAGTTTTTAACACTATTTTATTTTATTTTTTGGACTGAGACTGGGACTTACACTCAGTACCTGATGCTCGTGCTCATTGGCTAGTTGTCTGCCAATTGAGCCATGCCTCCAATCCTGTTTATACTATTTTAATGGAAAATAAAGTTGAGCCTGTAATCCCAGCTCTGAGGTAGGAGGATTGAGTTGGAGACCAGCTAAACTATGTAGCAAAACCTTGTCTCAAAAAAAAAAAAAATTGAGAGTATTTTTTCTTTAAAATTCTTGGAAAAATTAAGAACTAAAGCCATATCAAGAAGAACTTCAAGCTGGGAGCCAGTGGCTCATGCCTGTAATACTGGCTACTCAGGAGGCTAAGATCTGAGGATCATGGTTCAAAGCCAGCCCAGGCAGGAAAGTCTGTGAGACTCTTATCTCCAATAAACCACTCAGAAAATTGGAAGTGGCACTGTGGCTCAAGTGGTAGAGCGCTAGCCTTGAGCTGAAGAGCTGAGGGACAGTGCCCAGGCCCAGAGTTCAAGACCCATGACCAACCAAAAAAAAAAAAAAACCCAACAACTTTTTCAAGTGGGCATGGCAATATACATCTGTAATCCTAACAGTAAGGAAACAAAAAAGTAAGTTCAAGGCCTGTTTGTCTTCAGCAAACGAAATCAGCATGAAACTCCTTTCAAAATTATAGTTGTAAGTACATATCATAAAATAGCTAAAATAGCTAAAGCCACATGATCTAAAATAAGTAAATAATAAAGCCTTTTCATTGTCAAGGTTTACATATAGTCCTAAACTTTTCCCCTTATAGTGATACAGCTATATGTATATATTTGAGCATACATAATTGTGCTTTTTTTGTGTGTGCTTACACTATGGCTTGAACTCAGGGCCTGGAATTCTTTTTTTGCTTACAGCTGGTACTGTACCACATGAGCTTTGCCTACAGGTACAGCTTTTTCGAAGTTAGTTGGAGATGAGAACTTCTAAGTTTGTCTGTCCAGGCTACCCTCAGAACTTAATCTCTACAAAAGCTCAAGGACAGGTACCCATTCTCTGAGGTCAAGCCTCAGGACTGGCAAAAAAAGTAAAAGAAAAAGATACTTGACCAAAGGGAGAAAATGTTGGATTATCTTAATAAATTACAGAATATCTTCTTCATTACTATTGAGAGTAGTATATACAAATGTCTTATAGTAGAGATTTAATGGGATGACTACTTTTGTGTAAAATCATCAAATTAAGTCACATTTGGAATTAGGTAGATTATAACTTAATACAAGCATTGTGAAGATGGAAACACTAAAACATGAGTTGTTATACCATGGCTTTAACATTAGAGGCAGACTGAAATTATTATCTTCTGTTAATCTCATCTATGAGGACTGCCATTTTCTTGCTGTTGATAATAGTGTTTAAAAATGTAATTCAATTTGCACTTTTCATGCTTTTTCCCCCCTGTACCACCTGACTGACGCACACTGAAGGAATTGGCAAATTGTCAACTGCTGATGGGAAAGCTTTTGCAGATCCTGAGGTACTCCGGAGACTGACATCCTCAGTGAGCTGTGCATTGGATGAAGCTGCAGCTGCACTGACACGGATGAGAGCAGAAAACAGCCACAATGCAGGACAAGTGGACACGTATGTTTTTTTATTACTTTGTAGGGTATTAAACATTTTCTTACGCCAATTTTAGTTAAATATATCTTTTAGAAGAGCTTATAACCACTGGCTAGTTGCATATTAATATAGATATTAACATTTTAAATGGGTACATTAACATATAAGTATTAAGTAGCTCCAATATTTTTATTCCTTTTTAAAAATATTTTTATTTCTTTTTTGTGGTACTAGGGATTAAACTCATGCTTGTTAGGCAAGCTTTCTAACACTTGAGTCTTGTCTGAAATCTGATATTTTATTTTATTCTATTCTATTTCTAGTACTACGCCTTGAACTCAGGGCCTGGGTGCTATTCCTTAGCTTTTTCATTCAATACTGGTGCTGTACCACTTGATCCACAGCTCCACTTCTAGGTTTTTGGTGGTTAATTGGAAATGCAACACATTTCTTGTTTGGGCTGGCTTTGCACCACTGATATCCTCAGATCGCAGCCTCCTGAGTAGCTATGATTGACTATAGGCATGATTCACAGGTGCCTGGCTGGTATTTCTGTTTTTGCAACGTTTTATACTGGAATGTACGAGAAACCCAAGTGGATTATGTCCTGGTTTCTACTTAATTGGGTTTTGTTGTACTATAGAGGTTGAGTGAAAGGTCTCATGCTTACAAAGCAGGGGCTTTTATCAATTGAGCCACACATCCAGCCTCTTTTTGCTCTGATTATTTTTCACTTCAGTTTGTGCTTTTTGCCCAGGACCAGCCTTGGATGCAGATTCTCTTAACCTGTCTTCATAGCTGGTATTACAGGAGCATACCAGCACACTTGCCTTGTTTAGTTGAGATAAGGTCTTGTTTATTTTGCCTGGGCAGGCCATCAAATCTTGGTGATCCTCTGGATCTCTGTCTCAAAAGTAACTTTGATTATACCCCCTGGTTTCTACTTCCTAAAAAAATTACTTATTTAATAGTTTATAGCTGTAAATTCCAAACTGAATGAGCAGCAATAAATGAAATGAGTTACTTTACAATAATCTAGTTGTTTGCTATTCAAGTATGATCCATGGCCAGTCAGTATCAGCATCAAATTAGGACTGTAGGGCTTGTTAGAAATACAAAATCTTGAGCCCTATTCCAGAATCTGAATCTGCATTTTAACAGGAAATTGTGTGTGACTTATATACACGTTAAATTGCAGGATTCACTGATATAATTTTATAGTGGAATTCTATTTTAGATTTTTCATCTTTGTTCTTACCAAATAAGATTTTAAGCAATAGGATCATATTCCAAAATGTCTTTGGCAATCATTACATCAGTAGCATTTAAAAACTTGTTCAAGGCCTGGCGCCGGTGGCTCACTCCTATAATTCTAGCTACTTAGGAAGCTGAGATCTGAGGATTGCAGTTCAAAACCAGCTCGGGCAAGGAAAGTCCATGAGACGCTTATCTCCAATAAACCACTCAGAAACTCGGAAGTGGTGCTGTGGTCAAGGCTAGCCTTGAGCTGAAGAGCTGAGGGACACCACCCAAGCCCAGAGTTCAAGTCCCAAGACTTAATTCTTTTGATGTAGTTTCTTATAAGATCCAGTGGTTTTTCTGTATAGTTAATTGTTTTATGGTTTTGTTTGCAGTCGCAGTCTAGCAGAAGCTTGTTCAGATGGAGATGTGAATGCTGTTCGTAAATTGTTGGATGAAGGCAGAAGTGTAAATGAACATACAGAAGAAGGAGAAAGCCTGCTGTGTTTGGCCTGTTCAGCAGGCTATTATGAATTAGCACAAGTAAGCACAAATAATCTTTAGTGACTAATATTTTGGAAGGGTTTTGATGTTTTATTTAGTTTTGCTATTTAAAAGGGAATTGTAAGTAGAGGGTCTTCCTTTCCCCTTTCTCTTTTTGATAGTAGATAATATAGAAACAGTTCATTTTGTTACTTACGCATGCAGCTGGGCATGGTCGTTTTTCTGCTGCTTACTCAAAGTTAACACTAATACATGAGAAACAGAAATAATCATACTTTACACTTCATTTAAAAATAATATATAATTAAGCTTGATGTGGTAGTACACACCTATAATCCCAGCAATCAAGAGACTGAGACAGAAAGATCAAATATCTAAGGCCATCCTCGGCTGTGTACTGATTTCCAGGCCGGGTTGGATTATGTGAAAGACCCTGTTGAAAACTTAAAAAAGGGTGGGGACGGGATATAAGAAAAACATCAAAGGGCAGGGAAGGTGGCTCAGTGGTAGAGTGCTTGCCTTGCATGCATGAGACCCTGGGTTTGATTCCTCAGCACCACATAAGCAAAAAGAAAAAAGCCGGAAGTGGCGCTGTGGATCAAGTGGTAGAGCGCTAGCCTTGAGCTGAGAGCTG